TTCCCTAAGAAAAAGATAATTTTATACAACATAGCCGCCAGTAATATAGGTTAAATCTTTATTTACACAAGTTAATTTATGACATAATTTATTAACAAGATTTTAAGTTATCACACGACCACCTTGAGAAAACTTCGTATTGACAATCATGCACGAGCAGGAACCAAGAAGAAAGACTACATTAATTTCCCCTGGTTTCCCACATTAATCGTCAACAGAACGACAAACCTGCGCATACGCACTTAATGAATAATGCCTTTTATCTGTATCATCCAGAAGAATCAAGAATACAAAAGAATAACTCTTAACATCAGTATTAACTTGTCCGCAAGTGTACCAGCTTTACTAATTCATCAAACGATAAGACACACTTAAAAGTTTTTTTTTTATCCAACACCAATTACAATTTAAAGGTTGTCTGATAATCGTTTATTTTCAACTAGAAATCAGCTAAATCTGTATTAAAAAGACTAACTGCAAAATAACTAATTGCTAAAAAAACCTATTATGATTTTTTTTAAATAATACAATTAGTGTTTAGTATTGTTCCTAATTGTTTCCTTTAAGTGATATTACAGACACAATATTTGGAAAATCTTAAGAAATATTTCATTTAAAAATTAAAATAATGTTGCGACTCAATAGGACAGTGTGAAGACACCTAGGACTTCAATCATATACACCTATGTATAACAGACACACACATATATATATAGGTGCCGTTAGTGTAAGCTATTTCCGTGTGGCATACCTAATACAATTCATAAAAATCCATTTTTTCCCATACAGTTCTCGTATCGATCTCAATTCCCTAGGTCGCTAACTTAACACATTGATCAGCACACTCTACGAACATTGATCTTACTACACGAACCGAGTCGCTTAAACCAGTTTCCAACACCAGCAACATTTTTATTTCTCTAAACACTACTTTATTTTAAAGCGGGAAAACAAAACCCGTTCTATAAGAAGGTAAGGGCAAAGTATTCTCCCTCTGCTAAAGAAAAAAAAATTATGCTTTTCCCAGGTCTTTTAAACACCTTCACAGGGAGTCTATTCTTTAAACTACAGAAGTAAGATACTTATAAAATCGAGAATTATTTTTAGAAGAGGCTCCACTTCAAACTCGCTTACCTGTATATTTGCTTTCTTGCATTAAATTCAGATTTCTTGTTTACCCCAAAAAATGTTTACTTGTAGATGCAATATACAAAATTATTATTATTTAAAATATACAATAATGTACTTTTTATACACAGCTTCCTAAAATGTTAATCTTATAGCTATCAGAAAATTGTGAAATAAATTATGTGGAAAATTGTTTGTTTGTCGTTAAGCACAAAGCTACACAATGGACTGACTATCTGTGCTATTCCCATCACGGGTATCAAATCCTAGTTTTTAGTATTGTAAACATTCAGATTTACTGGGGAGCCTCTAGAGAGCTGAAGAAATTAGAAACCTTTGATTGTTTTTGTTGTTTTTTTTGGAATAAACACAAATAAATCTTTAACAATTACATGAAAAACTTTTATTGAATATTCTTACAACTCACTATTTTGCATACAAACTTGTGAAAAAAAATTCAATTCACAACCAAGACTCCCTTATGAATTTCATCTAATTTATTTTTCATAAATTAATTTGCTTCTTTACAGTTACAAGAATTACAGCTGTCTTACAAATGTGTGAAAAAGAATATTCTAAAGTAAACCCTGCCTTAAGAGCAAACTGAAAAAAAAAGAAAGCTGTGAAGTTGAATGGTTTATAATGAAGGTGGAAAAGAGAAGGTTACTGATCAAATGTATATAGTATATATATATATATATATATATATATATATAAGTAATAACTAAGTACGTAGTATAATATGTTACTTCTTA